AATGAAGGGATGGGGTAGTGGGAGAAGGCATTGGGAAAAAGGGGATACTGTTCTTGGGTGGAAAGCCTGGGTCCAGATATCAATGACTTAGCATAGTCTAAGATAACATATGCTGGGGTCACAGGGATGTATTCAAGACACAGGCAAATCCTGTGCATCCCTCCTACAAATTTGTTAACCAATGTGCCCATCTTCCAACACCCAGCCCTTTCTCTATGCTTGAAGCTATACTCTGGGAAGAGAAGGAAAGGTGTGTAGGGTTTCTGGGAGACCAGAAGATATGAATGGAGACTGAAATGCAGTGACTATTGCAGGTTCTCTTCCCCAGGCAAGAAACCACCCCAAAGCCTCTGCCCCAAAGTCCACAGAGGGGTCAGCATCCTCCTCCTGGTGGGCTGCTTAAGACTAGTGTGGTGTGACCACCAAAGGATATGATATTTTGGGGAGCAGTAGGTGCGCCTGACCTTGGCACTACTGATTTCAGAAGCTGGGATTCTTACAAAGGCTGCCCATTTAGTTGGACCCTTGTTGTTGTTAAGTGTTGTCAATTTGATCAGGCTCATAGTGAATGCCTATGACAGAACAGAACGGCCGCACAGGCGTTCCTAGGCTGTCATCTTCCTTCTCCGGAGCCACTGGGTGGGTTAACTGCTGGACCACCGGACTTCGGTCATGTCTGTTCTTGGGCTAACCAAGGTGCTTTACTGGTGCCTTTCTAGGAGGCTGTCTTCCAAATCCCACTAGGATGAGGGCAGGAGACTTTCAACTGCTGGCCCTTGCACAAGAAATGTAGTTTGAATGCTTTTAGGTGACACACTATTTGCTAATACTTCCGGTCAACTGCCTACTGCTATCCTGCTGGCCCCTAGTTAGGAGTTTTGAGTCCCTTGATGCATTTCAACTACCTGTCACATCGCTTTTAGGAGAAGCCAGGTGATTAGGGGCAGAGGCAGTGAAACTTCATCAGGGGTCCTAAACAGGGACCCAAGGCTGTGTTTTCCATTCAGGGCAACGCACTGAATCACAAGGTCAGTTTGAACTGCAAAGTCAGTGGTTCAAACTCCCCAGTGCTCCTAGGAAACACTTTACAAGGTAGCTATGAGTCAGAACCAACTCAACGGCATTTAACGCCACCACTACTCCTGGTGTCCCTGTGTGGCACTGTGGGTTAGTGTGCTGCAGGTTAAGGTTGGTTTAAACTGCAAGGTCGGCAATTCAAGTTCACCACCCGCTCCTAGAAAACTCTACACAAGGTCGCTATGAGTCGGAACTGACTCGGTGGCATTTGACAGCAACAACTCGATAAGGAGCCCTGGTAGTGCAGTGATTAAGCACTCAACTCAAGGTGGTTGGTTCAAACCGATCAGTCTATCCATAGGAGAAAAAAACCTGGTGGTCTGCCCCTGGTCTCCCCTAGCCTAGGAAGCAGGCCGATTCTGTCATGTAGGGTTGCTATGAGTTGGAACAGATTCAGTGACTTACAACAACAACATGTGATTATGGAAATCAGGGGGCTACAAAGACCACAGTAAGAGGTCTTCACTTTAAGCCACCAGAGGTAAGCAGTGCATAATGATGCAGAATAGAATTGTTTCAGACACTTACTTACACCTCACAAAGGTATTTATTTTAAATAAGTGCCAAGTACAGTCCATTTTGTTTAAATATCCTGAGCATTCTGCAGACCACTCAAGTGCACAGGAGATGCAGTAATTGGTAGAAATATTAATGTTTCTTTGTTTTTCATGTGACCACTTTGTACAAGTCAAAGGACTATGCCAACAATAGCACTGTCTGTGCCATTCTTGTTACTAATATGATTGCCAATTAATCCTGACATGGGAGCTTGGCAGCATAGCCAGAACCCTGCATTTTGTCACCTTGGGGGGTTAGCACGTGGACATTTTTATGACATTCTATACTGATCAATCAACTTTCCTTTTTTAAAGCAGACTCTGTTCCTCGGAGCTGCAGATGAGTCCTACATGCACCAGCGATAGGCACCCATTTCTCCCAACCTGGGTTTGTTGATAATTACCCTTTGAAGCCAACTATTGAAAATATTTATTCTTATTTCTCCTCTTCAAGAAGGAAATCTCTCTCAAATGTTAAGAGAGAAATGCAAGTCCCAGAGAATCTTTTCAGATTATTGTACATTTAAAAATATTACAAGAGGGCTCTTCTCAAGGGAAGTGGTCTTTGAAGCTGCCAAAGACAATTGACTTTCTCTGAATCTGTTACCAGCGGTCCCCAAGCTGGCTCCAGTCTGTTCTATTCTGAGTTATGACACATACGGCCGGGACAAACGCCACTCTAAGATATTTCTAGGACCCCCTAGCAAACAGTAATTCATCTGGAGACAGCCAGGCAGGCCAGGCAAGGACAGATGGGAAGAATGGCTCTCCTGAGGGCTCTAGGCAAAGACAGGGGTCCTATATCAGCTGGCGAACCAGGTTCTCACAGAAAGGTCTTCACGAATCACACGTCATACCCCTCCCCCTAATCCTCTGGCCTCAAATGATTCTTTCAACAATGTTTCAAATAGCTCACCTTGAAAAGATCATCAGGTTGCAAATAGATCTGCTGTCAAAATTCCATCCAGCCCTCTCTTCCTTGACTCCTGGAATGGACGCATGAAGGAACCCAATCTAACATCATTAACCTTCAGAAAGAATTAGGATTTATGCCTTTCTCAAACCCAGCATGCTCCTTCCTCCTTTTCTATTCTTTCTTTCCTTCTGTCCATTTCCAAACTCAAAGAGGTGGCCAGGTTATCCAAGGATCACAGAACCCTACAAAAGTACACTGAGAGAGCGATCCCAGCCCGTTAGAGACAGACTGTGTGATCTTGGTTGCACCGCACCAGCCTCTTCCTGTCTCAGTTGCTTCATTTGTAACAGGGAAGGATGACTGGCAGACCTGACTCACGGGGTCACTGTGGGGAAGGAGTAAGGCAGGTGAAACATCTTGGAAAGTCTACTGCACTATACACCAGCAAATGCTAACTCAAAGATGTTTTCTGAAGGAAAACAATGTCGTGACACATCCCTCCCAACATCCATCTGCTTACAGAAGAACCAAGTGCTCAACAACATTGGGATCAAGCATTGCATGTGGCATGTTTAAAGGGTCAGTCTGGAGTGCTCACTCTGCGCCAAGCTCCTGAAGCATCTCCTCATTTAATCCTTTCAACTCTAGCAGACTGGCCATACCCAGATTTTTGTAGATGAGGAAGATGAGGCTTGGAGAGGATTACCCAGGCCACACTTACCCAGGCCACGACTCTGGTGAGGCCCAGAGCTAGAGGCTGTGTATGGGCCTAGCCGCAAGCCAATGATCTTACTTACCACCAGCTCATCTATGCACAAACAGTTCCAGCAGGTAGTTAGTTGTCTTAGAGATAATAGTAAAGGTCTGTGCATCTCTTAAGGGCTCCTTGGATGCACAATGCTCCTTGGCTACACGATTCACGGATGCTGGGTTTGTGTTATACGAGAGGTAATGCTGTTCACCTTCCTCGGCACATTCCACCTCCATGTCTCTATCTGCCAGCAAGTTAAAGGCAACCATGGGATAAACATCCTGCTCTCCTTTCACTGTGCCCCTCTGCTTATGAAGTGGAGTCCCTGTGGCTTAACACAAGAGGGAGGAAGGTGCTGCCACTGGGGAACAGAGCCCCTGGGCTCCCTCACGTTGTTAGGCCAACCCTGCAGCTCACAGAGTTCTCCTTGAAGAAGTGAGGCTTGGGGCAGCTCTCTATTGAAGGCAAAATGTTGGTGGTCTGTGTGGCCAGCCCACCCATGCACTTCACCACAGAAAGCCAGAGTCAGGCGCTGGGATCTGGCTGGGGGAAGTACCGCCTGGAGGTTGGGGGACCCTTCACCCGTTTGTGGGGCTAAAACGAATTTTATGGCATTTCCAGTGGTGGCTGATCCTTTGAGATGTCACCTATGAATTTCGTTTGACCTCCCAGAAAGGTTGACAAGCCGTGTTTTGTCTGCTCTACTTAAGGTCACAGAGGAGAGCATTTATTTATTTGTCTAATGCTTTCAATCTCTTCATGTTTAATTCTGAACACTCATCTTCACCAATTTCCACAAAACAGAGGGGCTTGGTAAGCAGGCTGAAGGCCTTCTCTGCTCTCGGCACATAAACATGTGAAGAGAAGAACTTGTTTGTCTCAGCAAAACTCACCTCTCCTACCTGTGAGAACCACCACAGAGCTACCAACTCATGGCCTCAGAGTAGAGCTGTGCTCCAAAGGGTTTCCGGTGGTTGATTTTTCTGAAGTAGATCGCCATCCCTTTCTTCCTAGGTGCCGCTGGGTAGAAACAAATCCCTAACCTTTTGGCTAGCAGCTGAGCTCATTACTTGTCTGCATCATCTAGGGACTCTGGTCTAACTTTAGATACCATTATACACTCTTCATGATGTTTAAATTGCAGTGATAGGGACTAACCTAAGAGCTCTTTCCTTTTCAATATGCTGTTGCTTTGTCGAGAACACAGAACAAGTACTATAAAGAAATGCACAGGAAACCCAACCCTCCCTTTCTACCATCAAAAGTAGTTCATTCATCTTCATCCATCTGCCCAGCTTCCTCATTTTATAAAGGAAGAGACAAGCAACTTGACCAAAACCATCCTCCAGGTAAATGGTGGAGTCCGCCCCAAAGTGCAGCCCCTATTGTGGTCGTTGTTGTCATTAAATGCTGTCGAGTTGGTTTCGACTCATAACAACCTTGTGTGGAGTTTCCAAGGAGTGGCTGGTGAGTTGGAACCACCGACCGTGAGATTCAAACTGACCTTGTGGTCTAGTGCTATATCCCACAGTGCCACTCAACATTCCTCTGTCGAGTTTAAGTGCCAAATCTATTCATTCATTCAATACTCAGCTGGTGGACCCTTGACTATGGTCCACATGTAGCAAATATTTAAATGCGTAAGTGCCTACATCCGAAAGGAATGAGGGCCAACAAGGATGGCGGGCCGACATCTCACCTGTAAATTTGCACAAGGTGGTAGCACATGAGTGGGGATCTCATTCTCAGACCCTGCTGGCCCCAGGGCCTTGTTCTTGACCCGGAAGGCTGTGGTGGTCATAGCAGTGGTGGTCTGTGCTGGAAGGGCTGGCTGCCACACAGTCACATCGGAGCCATTGCCAAAGGCTTGAATTGCATTTTCTGCAGTAAAACAGAAGGAAATTCAATTTCAATGTCAAGCAGCAAATGTACCAGACAAGAGACACACAGCCGGAGAGGACACTTACAAGTCTCATTACGGCATCTGAGTTCCCAGAGCAAACCCCACCACCCATTCATTCACCTATCCTCCTCTTGCAGATGGCTAGTCAGTGGGTCAGATGCCCCCAAATCCATTCATTCATTAAATACTCAGCTGGTGGACCTTTAACTATGATCCAAATGTAGCAGACATTTATTGAGTTTCCATTTATGTGTGAGTTGTTGAGCGAGTTTCTTTCCCTAAATCCTTGTCAGTCCAGTTCTCTGAAACTCAGCCTCAGCCATGCTACTTGGGATCCTAATCATTACCCCACCTTCCAAGAATATCCTTGCACACTGTCAAAACTACATTTAAAGCAAACTAATTAGTGCTTTCTTTTTAAGTACAAAATCTCTAATGATGAGACCCAGATGATTTGGTAGCCTGTACTCCCTAATTTGCAGGCAGTGCTATGAAACAACCAAAAATGTAAATCAGTACATTAGAGTGCCTAAGGAACTCTGATAGTGTAGTGATTACGAGTCAAATCGGGCTGCTAAGCTTACAGTCAGCAGTTTGAAACTACCAGTCGTTCTGCAGGAGAAAGATGAGGCTTTCTGCTCCTGTAAAGATTTACAACCTCAGAAATCCTATACAGGATCAATAAGAACTGACTACACGGCATATAACCACTATCACCACTACGTGTCGAAGAACCCTGGAGGCACACTGGTTAATGGCTTGGTGGCTAGCGAACAGGTCACTAGCTGCTCTGCAGAGAGAGAGAGAGAGAGTGGCAGTCTGTTTTTTTTTTAAAAGACTGTTGTTGTTAAGTGCCATGGAGTTGGTTTTGACTCACAGGGACCCTGTATTGGGTTTCCAAGGAGCGACTTTAAAGATTCCAACCTTTAAAGATGACAACATTGGAAATTCAATGCGGCAGTTCTATTCTCTTGTATTCTGTGAGTTGGAATCCACTGAAGGGCGGTGGGATGCTAAGTCTCAGGTGTTGTTCAAAGTACAAATGCCACCAGTTCCTTTCAAAGAAGAAAACCAACCCCAAACCTCATCAATATATAGTACAAGTTTAAGCAAGATTGTTTGATCCGATTGTGCTCCCAGACTTCTAAACAAAATCTGCATAATTAGGTAAGAGCAGCCCTACTTAAATTAAAAGTTTAAAATGTAAGACTTTAAAAGCTTATTACAATTTCACAGGATTAGACTGTTTTTATGGTAAGAGCAAATTGGTTGTGTGTTGTTCCCCTTCCCAAAATGAATAAAACAGTTTTTAATCAGGTCTCCAGGGATTTGGCCTGGATTTAGGAATTGTCTATTTCATATTCATTGTATAAGAAATCAAACTCCTCCATTTGGGGCCTGAATGTGTAAATAGTTAAAATATGACTCTTAGCTGGCATTTTTGTGATAGCCAAGAAAGAATAATTTAAGCCTAAATCTTTCTCTTAGAAGTGACATTTTGGTCTAAAATTGTTATCTTTTAAGTTCTAGCAAATTGGAAGCTTGTTTTTTTTTTTTTTGTTTTTTTTTAAGGTTGTAAAAAGCAGCTCAAATTAATATAAATGCTTTTTATGTTTCTAGCTATGTTCCAAAGCTTAATGGGTGGGTAAGATGCAGATAACAAGATGTTGTTGTTGTTGTTAAGTACCATGGAGTTGGTTCCAACTCATAGTGACCCTGTACAGGGTTTCTGAGGCTGTAAATCTTTACGGGAGCAGAATGCCTCATCTTTTTCCCACGGAACCACTGGTAGTTTTGACCTGCCGACCTTGAAGTTGGCAGCTCGATTCAGATAATGAGATCAAGGGTATCAATATCCTTAAATGAGCCCAGAACAAACACACAGGAACCAAAATCCCATATCTTCCTTGTTCTTGATAAGACTCATATTCAAGAGACCCTTGCCATTTCTTGTCTCTCTGTTTTCCCAGCGTGTCTGATTTGTCATGTTGGGAGTTCGCTTGTTCACTTGTCCATTCATTCATTTAGTGTCACTTAGTCACATGTAAACAGAATCTCTGTTAGGTACTGGTCATCACTCTGCGCTGAATGAAAAGGGGAGCAAAAAAAGACAAATGTCTTGGCCTCATGGAGTTCCCATTTGGGCTGGGAATTCAAGTAAGTTAAAACCAAATCAAAACAAAACCCCAAACCCAGTGCCACCGAGTCAATTCTGAGTCACAGTGAAACTACAGAGCGCTTCAGAGGCTGTGCATCTTTAATGGGGCAGGAAGTCTCATCTTTCTCCTACAAAGCTGCTTGAGGATTTGAACTGCCAACCTTGGGATTAGCTGTCCAGTACTTATCCTACAGTGCTACCAGGGCTCCTTAAGCAGAGAATAAATGCATTGTTGTGGTTAGGTGCCATTGAGTAGACTCATAGCCACCCCATGTGATAGAACTAGTCGACGAGGTTTTCTTGACTGTCATCTTGATGGGAGCAAACCATGTGTTCACATTCACGGAGTTGTGGAATGGGTTCGAACCACCGATCTTTTGGTTTGCAGCCACCAGGGATCCTTAGAAATACATCACAAGGTGATAACTGTCTTGGAGAAAAACGCAGTGGGTGTGGCAAAGGGAGGCCATGCTGAGAATGGAGACTTGCAATTGAGATAAAGTGGTGGTGGTCAGGGGAGGCCTCCTGGAGAAGATGACATCTGGACAAAGACTTGAATGACAGCTACTGACATCTCGTTTCCACCTCCACCTCACTGTCCTCACTTCCTTTTAGATCTGCCATGCTCTTAACTTAAAAAGAACTGGTTCTTTCCCAATAGCCAGAAGTAAACACAATTGGTTGACATTGTGTTTGATGACAGGGGAATTTGGAAGAGATTTGGGTTCATCTAAGCGAGTGGAAATTGGGTTACCATGTTTGGGTTAGAATCTAAAAATTCCAATTTCTCCTACCTTAGGGCCTCTTGCAAGAGACTGAATTTACAGCCTTTTGTCTTTGGTATGCTGTGCCCCTTCTAATGAACATATAAATGGAATGACTATGAAACATTCTGGCTAGCTGTGGCCCCTTGCTGCAGACCAAATGCATTTATTTTTATTGACAAGTCATTAGCAGTAAGACACCAGACTATTCTCCCCCTCACCAAAATGTTATTAAGCCGGGACAACTTTAATTTCTCTGTGAGCGAGAGGTTTGTCAGCCAGTATTTCTCACACTGACCTCTACTGTCAGTGCTTTGTCTCCATTAAAACGTGTATCCTGCCAGAGTCTGCAGGATGTGAAGAATATCATATATAATGTAGTTGTTGTTATGGGCCATCAAGTTAGTTCTAACTCACTCATAATGACCCTGTATAACGTTTCCAAGGAGCAGCTGATGGGTTTGAACCACCGATCTTGTGGTATAGGATACCAGTGCGTATCCTATAGTGCCACACCAGGACTCCTATATATAAAAGTCTTGGCCTTAGGAACTTACAGACAACTCCTGTTTTAGTTGTTAGGTGCTGTAAAGTTGGTTCAAACTCATAGCAACCCTCTGCACAACAGACTGAAACACTACCCAGTCCTGCACCTTCCTCCACATCAATGCCATGCTGGAGGTCACTGCTGAAGCCAACGTGTAATCCATCTTGTTGATGGTCTTCCTCTTTATCACTGACTCTACTTTGCCAAGCAGGAAGCCAGTCTAGAGGGCCTGGTCCCTTCTTATGTACAAAGAAGGTGACATAAAGTCTCACCATCCTGCTTCTAAGCATTCTGGTGGTGCTTCTTCCAAGAGAGATTTTTCCCTTCTTCTGGTAGTCCATTAATTCAAAGGCATCATTTCTTCTTCAGTCTTTCTTATGACTTGTCCAGTTTTCTCATATAAACGAGGTTATTGAAAATCCCATGGCTTGGGTCAGGCATATCTTAAGGCTCAAAGTAACATCTTTGCTTTTTATCACTTTAAAGAGGTCTTCTGCAGCAGATTTGTCCAGTGCAAGAGTTTTTTGATTTCTTGACTCCTGCTTCCTTGGGCCTTAATTATGGATCTAAGTAAAATGAAATCACTCGCAATTTCTGTATTTTCTCCATTTTATCATAATGGTGTTTATTGGCCCAGTTGTGAGGATTTTTGTTTTCTTATGTTGAGATGCTAATCTACACTGAAGGGTGTAGTCTTTGATCCTCATAAGTGTTTTGTTCTATTCTCTTTCAGCAAGTAAGGCTGGGTCATTTGCATATCATAGGTTGTTAATGTGTCTTCCTCCAAGCCTGATACCACCTTCTAAGATTATTTGCTCAGCATACAGATTGAATAAGTATGGTGAAAGGATACAACATTGGCAGACACCTTTTCTGGTTTCAAACAACTCAGTGTCCCCTTGTTCTGTTTGAATAACTCCATGTTGCTCTATGTAGAATTTCTACAAGAGCACAATGAAATGTTCTGGAGTTCCCCTTCTTCACAATGCTATCTATAGTTTGCTATGATCCACAGAGTTTCAGTAATCAGTAAAACACAGGCAAACATCTTTCTGGCATTCTCTGCTTTCAGCCAAGATCCAGCTGCTATCCTTCATTCCATGCCTTCTTCTGATTCCTGAAAGTTCCCGATTGTTATTCTGCTGCAGCTGGTTTTTAAATATCTTCAGCAAAATTTTGCTGGAATGCGATATTGATGGCATTGGTTGGATCATTTCTACATTCTGCTAAACTTCTTACTTTGGAACGTGCACAAATAATGGATCTCTTCCACTTGGCCACGTAGCCGTCTTCCAAACTCCTCAGCATAGATAGATGAATGAGTGCTTCCAGGGTTGTTTCCACTGGTTACAACATCTTAATTGATATTCTGTCAATTCTGATGTCTTACTTTTCACCAATGCCTTCTTGGAGGACTTCCTCCTTCAGTATCATCAGTACTTGATCATACGCCACCTTCTGAACAGGCTGACCATTGACCAGTCTTCATGGTGAAATCACTGTTTCCCTTTCATCTTGTTCTGACACCTCCTGTTTTAGTCACTAATTTACACATAGAATTGAAGGCAGTATTGCAAATTGAGGCTTTACATTTTTCTTCAGTTCTTTCAGCTTGAGAAAAACTGTATGTGTTCTTCCCTTTTGGTTTTCTAACTATGTTGTTGTTGTTAAGTGCCGCCAAGTCGGTTCCAACTCATAGCAACCCTGTATAGGGTTTCTGAGGAGCAGCTGGTGAGCTTGAACTGCCGACCTTGCAATTCAAATGGCCTTGCAGTCTGGCACATTAACCCACAGTGCCACACCAGGACTCCCTATAGGTCTTTGCAAATTTGACTATACTTTACTTTGTTTTTACTTTTTATTGAGAATTAAGTGCAGGTTTATAGACAAGATCATCAGTTTTATAGTCAACAAATCTTACACTCTGTTTCACATCCATGATTCCAATCTCCTCCGTGCAATAACACTTGTCCTGTTTCCTCCCTGTGACTCCTATTTTCATTCCACCCACCATCCCATTCCTTTTCAACTTTGTCCTTAGATAAATGTTGCCATCTTGATTTTGAATGATTGGACATTCCATGGTGAACATACCTTACTAGTGCCCCCTAGAAGTGATCCAGCCAGATCCAATAACACCTTATTGGTGTTGTGGTCCTCTCTATATGCCTTACTACTGCTTGGCTGAAACAGAGTCATGAGGGTGAGTTCCTTTCCAGACCTGAAGGTTGAGGACCATAGGTTCCTCCAGTTTCTTTCTGACCAGTAAGCCTGGTCTGTCTTTCTTTTTTTTTTTTTTAATTAATTCTGAGTTTGTTCCACATTTTCTCCTATCTCATCCATGCCCTCTTACTGTGATCCCTTTCCGAGCAGTTGGTAATGGTAAATGGACACCATCTAGTTCTTCTGGTCTCAGAGTCATGGAGACTGATGTTCACATGGTCCATTAGTTCACTGGACTAATGGATTCCAAGCATCTTCAATTCTCATCACTCTTCTTTCTTCTGCACACAGAGGAACCAATAGCTGTACCTAAGGTGTCCATTCATGAGCTTTTGAGATCCCAGAGGCTACTCACCGAAGTAGGAATTAGAACATTGTCTTTGTGAACTATGTCATACCAATTGACCATAGTTTTCCCCTGAGACTAAGGTCCTGAGGCCCCAGGCTTAGCCACTCACTGCCTTAAGATGGTTGATAATATCTAAGAAGGTTTCAGTATTTTATACTTTACTTTGTATGAACAATTCCTACTTGCCATCTAATGTTAGTAAATTTGCCCTCATTTTGAAAGATTGAATCAGTCCCTATTCACAACAAAGTCGGCATCACAATCCCCTTTACTTGCTCCAAGTACAGCTTTTAAGACATTAAAGAGGCTCAAGCCCACTAACTACTAACCCTTGCCGGCAAGTAGATTCTGACTGATCATGACCCCATAGGGCAGTGTAGAAGTGCTCCTAACTGTAAATCTTTACGAGAGCAGGCAGTTTCATCTTTCACCCATGGAGTACCTGGTTGATTTGAACCACTGACCTGGAAGTTAGCAGCCCAATGTTTAATCCACAGAACCACTAGGACTTCTTTCTTGCACTAAAGTAAGGTTAAATAGGAGCTCTATGAACCTGGTCTCACTTACGTATGCATTCTTAAAGACATAGTGTAACTCAGGAATGCCTGTATTTAAATGACGATCAAATAAGAGAGTCAAGGTACGATTCCTTGGTGTCCTCCGATGTGTTGATGAATGCCTGCATTTTTGAGACTACTTTGGTGGGTTTGAAATGCACACTTACGTGTCTAAAAGATTGTTTTATTTTAAAGATGATCTTAACAATTGATTGCAGTCATATTCCCTCAAGAACCCAGTGAATAAATAACTTAGATTTTCTTTTTCAACAAAGGACATGATGAAGAAAGTGACATTTAAATGCGTTCCCTAGTTGATTCTTTTAAAATCAATCGCCTTACAGCAGAGCATCGTGGGAAAACTGTCTTGGGGTATATATTTCCAAAGGAGTGACTGGATGTTCATCCCTAAAAGTTGGCCCATCTCTCCCATCGGGAAGTTATAGCTGATCCCTGACGTCCAGATCTATGTCCTTGTCCAATGTCCTTCAGGGACAGGCACGGAACCATAGCCTCAGAAGATAGGGTGCTGTAGTAGAAGGAACTTAGACTTTAGATCCTAACTCCAGTGCCTCTGGTCTATGTGAATATCTGTGTACTCACCTGTATACTCAACTATAAAGTGGACATGATCATATCTACACCTACATTCACAAGAATTCCCAGGAGTCTTGTGAAGACTCCAGTGAATGAGATAACATCTATAATTACGGTCCCTGAGGAGTGAGTTTGCACACTCCAATACATAACTGCTACAACAACAATAACAACACAACATGGGAGTCCTGGTGTGGCACTGGGCTGTGAACCTCAAGATAGGTGGTTCAAATCCACTAGCCGCTCCTCAGAAACCCAGTAAGAGTTACTATGAGTCAGAAACGACTTCATGGTACTTAACAACAACAACATGAGTGTAGCTACTGAAGAGTCTCAGCTGGATCATCACCATGTCATATTGGTGGCTATAAGGGAAACTTGGCATGGGGTCTTAAGAATTTGTTTGATAAATATCCATCATTTACACCAGTACATTTCTCTCCATCCCTCTCCCAGTGGAAAAATGCTTTCCAGTTGCCTAAAGGGCCCTGCCATAATAACTGATGTTGTCTCCATGCCCTTCAGTGTTCATTATGTCTCTCCAGATAACCCACGTCGTGCGTCTCCTGGTTTACCCCACTCAAGAATCTCTGCTTGTAACTCTGAGCCAACAATGAACATCCAAGGGGGTACTGATGAGAACATTCTAATTTTTCTCAGAGAGTCCTTGGAGGCTTATCCCTATCTAATTTGTTTGAGCTTCTCATATTGTATTTTCTTCCTAGGTTTAAAGAACCTTTGGCACAGACGCTCCTCTGGCTGCCAAGATCAAAATTTGATCTGTGGTAGACGTGTTCTTTCCCCAAACAATGTACCTCCAGTTATTTGAATCTCTTGCTCTATTAGGCCTTTGAATGAATGGTGTTGGCAGTATCCAACTCATCACTTGCTCTGTTCCTTGCTGCCTTATCCAGTGTGGCCAAAAAGGAGCTAGAGTTGCCATCCATGCTTAGGAAAAAGGGATAAAGAGACCAAGGGAATACGCATACACAAGAAACAAGAAGATTCAGCTTAAGTCCTGACAGAAAAATGTTATCCCCCCCAATTTAAAAAATCAATCAATCAAATGCACTAAGGGATCAACAGAGGAAGGAGAGCCAGCCTAAGTGCCCATCAATGGGAGAATGGATAAATAAACTTCTGGGACATACACACAATGGAATATTATGCAACCATGAAGAAGAATGACAAGGAACCTGCAAGCCACTGCAATCTAAATTCCCATCAATGGACAAATGGATTAAACAAATGTTGGTATATACACACAATGAAGTACTGTGCAACTGTGTGTGCCTAAGTGTGTCCTCCTTTGCCATGAGACCAGACTGGATGGGCCCAGCTATTATTACTGAACATTTTGATCAAAGCTTCTATAAATCCTGATCAAAAAGGAGAGAAGACAGAACAGAATTCCAAATGCTCATGGAAACGAGGCTTTCTGGAGCCATAGAAGTTGGATGAACGCCCACCCCCCCATTACTGCCCTGAGATAATCTTTAAATTTTAAACTTTAAGTAAAAAATATCCCCTGAAGACTTCTTATAACCAAACAGTATCTTAGTTTAGCTAGTAACGAATGCTTGCCTTCAGCAGCGTGCTCTTTTAAGAACTTTCAATATGGAATCAAAGTGATGACATCAACTTGAAAGATTAAATAGGAAACTTAGTGGGTAGCAAGTTGATATTAATGGAGAGGAACGATTTAGAAAAGGAGGGTGAGAAGTATTGTACCACTGGAAGAATGTCATCCAGGTCCCTGAATTGTGCATGTGGCAATAGTTCCGTTGGGGTGTGGTCTGCCATGCATATTCTCAACAATAACAATACAAACTAAGACAAGTTATTAAAAAGCAAAATGAACAAACACACAAAAACTCACTAAGACACGTGTTGTCCTTGAAGAAATTCAGAAATTTCAGGCACTCCTCCAAGCCATTCCCACTGTTACTGCAATCACACCAGGGGGCCACGCTGAGGCTGCTGGAGTCGATGTAGTTGGGGGTCATGACGGTGCCTAAAAGAGCAAACACAAATGTTTCCTCTCGTGGGGCAAGAGGGACTTTTCTGTCGCTCCTCTGATGGCGGATGCACTGTAGATAATTACAAACACTGTGTTTGCTGAGTGGGAAATTGTGTTAAGCAGTACATTTTCTTGGCCATTTATCTTGAGCACATAAAATAATTTACACATTTACTTTAAAAATTACAACAGAACTCCTTGGGCTGCACTTAGGGTATTTTATTTTCCCCCCTGCACAATTGGTATGGAAGATAAGGGGTAGGCGAGAATTCACTTAGAATGCATGAGTTGCCAAACCCCTTGCATTTTCTTGAAAATGTCATTAATCTTCATAAATAGATAGGACTAGTTTTACATATCTTAACAATCCTTGTAGGACTTAGAATCCACTTCCCTCAGAAGCAAATGGCTTCCTCAGAGTAGCAGGAGGAAGCTTAGAAGCTCCCCTTGTGGGCTACCCTTACATCCTGACTGTATATAAAGAGGCTCCCGTTCACCAGTCTTCCGAATGATTTTAATCAAGTCTTCCAAGTTATGGAAGAATTGGAAACAAACAATGGAAATTCCCTAAGCCAATGGCTCTTGGAATATTGTGTGGGGATCCCCAAAAGTTCTCAGAGAATTGCTGGGTGGTCCTTCCTGCCTATGTCTTCCAGTATTCATTGCTTTCTGATTACTTCTCTAATGGCAATGGTGCAAATAACAAGACATTTCTACTTAACACAAACCAAATGTCTTCTCTTGGGTGGCTTACACTAGGAAATGCCCACAAACACAAGGAAACTTTCTGTTTTTATGTAGAAGAAGTATTAGGTGAGCAGTCATCCACAGTGTATATTTGGTGCATAAACAGAAAAATGTTTTGGTAAGTTCCTCTGGGTCAAAAGCATGCATATCGTCTTAGCCCTGCCTTCCTATTGACTTGAACAAAATTATACCCCATGAAAACCTGGAATGAGAACTGCATCCCCCAGAATGGAAGGCGCCCCAAACTTTGGTTGAGAAAGGTCTTCTAAGGAACAAACACCCTGAACACAGAGTCAAGGAGTTGAGGAGAATCTACTAAATACCCGCTGCATTCTTGGCATCAGAGTGGCTGGCTCCCTGCCACATAGAGGAAGTAGGGATGGACAGACAAGTCATGTTCTGAAAGAAATTGCAATCCAGTGGTCCAGGAAGTAATGATGAGTGCGCGATTCAGACCCAAGAGAGAAGTTAATTTTTGTCCACGTAATGCCTTAGCTCTGCCTGGCGTTCCCTTGGTTTCTCATCCTCAGGTACATAAGGGTTTGCCACACTGAGGAAGACCTCACAGAATGTTGACTCAGGCAGGTGGTTAGTGAGTGTGTACACATGCCAGGAAGGACACAGATTAAAGTGTTCACAGAGATACCTCCAGAATGTGAGTTTGGGGATCCTTAACATTTTCTCTTTTGTTCTCCTCTGTCATTTTTTTCAAAAAAGATTTAATGCCTTAAATAGTTTTTATAATTGTAAAAAAAATACACAGTCCACATTCTCAAATCATTCATTGTTGCTGTTAAGTTCCCTGGAGTTGAT